GAGTTTGAATTGCATTCAAAAAACATTATACCTCACTCTGTCCTGTCATTCGGTGGTACTACATGTACAAACACATTTTGGTTTAATTTATTTTTAACCATTCTTTGTCACCAATAACAGTTAATAGAGATCACAAGATAATTTATAATTTCCCCAACCAATTTATTGTGGTGCCCGATATACATGCATTGCAATCATAACTCAATAGAAAAAAAAAACAAAATTAAAAACTCTACTAAATACCAAAGTGAACCTAGCAAAAAAATCAGTTGTTTTAGACTGGTATATTTACATTTATGGAAATAAGGGCTCCTCTAAATATGTCTGCCTCTGAAATTTGAAAATAACCAAAGAAAAACAATTATTTTCTAATTTTACTAACTTTTTTCGTTTTTCCACATGAAAGGTTGGGATGACAAACTTTTTTCTATTCATTTACACTTATTAATCTGATAATGGGGAACACCATACTAGTAGCTTGTGTCACAAAGCAAGATAACGGATATGGTTAACACTCGTATGCTTAATGTCATGCGAGGTGTGAGCCATGTACTAGTATCATTACTTTGTACAGAAATTCATTCAGGTGTTGACTGGATAAAGAAAAAACACTGATGTACCCTTATGGCAGCTTATGGCAAAGGTTTTAAGTTTCTCAAATGCAAGTTTAAAAAAGGTCAAGATCAAAAGGTCAAAATTGTTGGTATCCAAATGAAGGTTCTTGTCACAAGGAAAATACATGTGAAATATGACAGCCCTTTCTACCTGTTCAAAAGTTATTGCCAAGGTTAAAGTTGTTTTTTTTTAAAGGGTCAAACTCTTAGGTCAAAATCAAAAATATCTATTCCCATTGAAAGGTCTTTTTACAATTAATACACATGTGAAGTATAAAAGCCCTAGAACCAACTGTTCAAAAGTTAGGACCTGCCAGGCACGGTTATAATTTAGTATTCTTTGTTAAAGTGGGTCAAACTCCAAGGCCAAGGTTATAAGGTCCAATTCGGCGATACCTAAAGAATGGTATTGTCACAAGGAATACTGGTATACCTGTGAAATATGAAAGTCATAGCCCCACCCAGTCAAAAGTTATGGACAATGTTAAAGTTTTGCGGACAAACAGACGGGCAGGGCAAAACTATATACCCCCGAATCTCCGATTATGGGGGCATAAAAACTCTACAAAATTTAAAACTCTAAAACATCAGATATCTGTAGCAACATGTCTTTTTTCAAAGAGACACATTCTCTTAATGCCGTTTTATATAGTAATTCAGATGATGCAAAAAAAAATTAAAAATGTATAAATGTATCATAGACTAGAACCATTTTCTAATTTGTGAACAATAATTTTAAATCTCATTTCAAAATCAACTTACTTTATTCTTCCCGCAAAGGAGAATTTATTTAGAAACTTCATGAGAAGTAGAAAACAACTTGCTGTGGCCTTCAACTCGACATACAGATATATTGACTTTTTAACAATTAACACTAGTTATTTCCATTCATATGTCGACTAGAGATATCCCAGTGAACTTCAAATAAACTAGAGGTACTGTGAGCAATGAGCTCACTAAATGATACCCCCCGCCTCCCATATGGTTATAATGGCAAAGTCCATGTTTTGCTGTGGCCGGGAAACCCAAAAGTAAAATAGGAGGTGCACAACGGCAATATGTAATAAAGATTCTGTGAAAGTTTCATTAAATTTCACTCAGTGGTATAAGAGGACTTGCGGATAAGAGATGGGTACCCCAAAGCGTAACAGACGGACGGACGGACATACCGATTACAGTATACCCTCCCACTTTTCAAGCGGGGGGTATAAAGAAACCACAAAGTCTGCCACATCTGTTTCATATTTGTGTGCTTTACTGACTACTGTAGATCACTTAATTTTCGCGACACTTTATTTTCGCGAGATAGTCATTGACTCTTTATTAGCGAGACAAAATTTTCACAAATTGTGGTCATTGCTTTATATAATCTTAAGGAATTCTATTATACGCGAGAATAAAATTTTCGCTAGCATACCGCCTCGCTTAATTACGCGAAAATAAAGTTCTCGTGAATAAAAAGTGATTTACAGTATGTGAAACGAATTCCCCCGCTGAAATGCGAGACCTTAAATATATTTAAGTTCTAGAGTGTAATGTAGAGATACTGTGAGCATTGAGCTCATTAAATGATACCCCCGCCTCCCATATGAATATAATGGCAGTGTCCGTCTGTCCGTCCGTCTGTTACGCTTTGGGGTACCCATCTCTTATCCGCAACTCTCATACCACTGAATGAAATTAGATGAGACTTTCACAGAATCTTCATTACATAATGCCATTGTGCACCTCCTATTGTGCACATATTTTGGGTTTCCCATCGCAAAACATGGACACTGCCACTATATTCATATGTAAGGCGGGGTATCATTTAGTGAGCTCATTGCTCACAGTATCTCTAGTTCTTTCTTTAATACTGAAGGGTACCCATCTCTTATCCGTAACTCCTCCTATACCACTGAATAAAATTTAATGATACTTTCACAGAATCTATATTATATTTTGCCGTTGTGCACCTCCTATTTTACTTTTTGATCTGACACTTATTTCAGGTCTTCCTGAGCAAAACATGGGCTTTGCCATCATAATCATATGGGAGGCAGGAGTTCTCATTTAGTGAGCTCAGTGTTCACAGTACATCTAGTTCATTTTACAAGTACAGCAAAAAAAGTCTGGAAAACAATTCACAAAATGTATATTTTTAAAGCCTAAATGTCATAACTTTAATTAAAATGGATTAATTATCAATTATCTCGATGTTAAGCTACAAGAAAATATAATATAACTTTAAGCACTGAAAAAAAAATCAAAAAAAAAAATGGTGATGCAAAATTTTAAAGTTCTGGGAAACTATGACGTAATTCGTATACATGTATACGTGTAGTTATAGTGATCTGCATCATAAATGATGATGTTTTATGTATAAATAATCAAATAATACTCCATTAAACCTCCATAAAGCTGGCTCCGGTCCTAAAACTTAGATTAGCACCATTTTGATCTCAGTCTCACTTTTACTAAAGGAATGTACCCGGTATAAGATGTTCAAGGAGAACTGAAACTGAGATTTAAAAAAATAAATGATACCCCCACCTCCCATATGATTATAATGACAAAGTCCATGTTTTGCTGTGGTCGGGAAACCCAAAATATGTGTCGGATCAAAAAATAAAATAGGAGGTGCACAATGGCAATATGTAATAAAGATTTTATGAAAGATTCAATAAATTTCACCCTGTGGTATAAGAGGAGTTGCGGATAAGAGATGGGTACCCCAAAGCGTAACAGACAGACGGACGGACGGACGTACAGACGGATGGACGGACATACCGATTACAGTATACCCTCCCACATTTCAAGCGGGGGGTATAAAAATAGAGGTACTGTGAGCACTGGTCTTATTAAATGATAACCCCCCCCTACTCCATTACCATTATAATGGCAAAGTCCATGTTTTGTTCTGGGAGACAAGATATAAATTTCAGATCAAAAATAAAATAGGAGGTCACAATGGCACTATGTAATAAAGAATCTGTGAAAGTATCATTAAATTTAATTCACTGAATAGGAGGAGTTGCGGATAAGAGATGGGTACCCTTCAATATTATAGAAAAATGGCAGCGCAGTGTCCATGTTTTGCTATGAGAAACCTAGTCTGAAATATCTGACGTTTTCCGGGCTTTTTTACGATTTCGATATTTTACGTGCCTGGCATTTGAAATATCAAAACCGTCAAAAAGCCTGGAAAACATCAGATATTTCGGACTATGAGAAACCCAAAATATGTGTCCAATGAAAAAGATAAATAAGAGCTGGATGTACTTTGACACCAAGTTATATAGATTCTGTGAAAGTTGCATTAAATCTCAATCAGTAGTATAAGAGGAGTTGCTGATAAGAGATGGGTACCCCAAAGCGTAAAAGACAGACGGACATCCAGATGTACCCTCCCACTTTTCAAGCTGGGGGTATAATTAGCTATCTCAGTTTTGTGGCCTTAGTTGTTTGTTTCTTGTATATACTATTTTATAGACACATACCAAAAATCGGCTTATTATCTACAAATACAGCCAAAAAACAGAAGACTTTGATGAGACTGTACATGTATTTCTATTGGTTTGAACTTAAAACTAAGGGTACTGTGAGCAGTAAGCTCACTAAATGATACCTCAGCCTCCCATATGGTTATAGTGGCAAAGTCCATATTTTGTCCTGGGAGATCAAAAATAAATGTCAGATCAAAAAATAAAATAGGAGGTCACAACGGCATTCTGGAATAAAGAATCTGTGAAAGTGTCATTAATTTTATTCACAGGTATAGGAGTTGTGTATAAGAGATGGGTACCCTTCAATATTATAGATAGAATGACAGTATCCATTTTTGCTCTCAGATTTGGAAACTCAAAATATCAGTCTGATCAAAAAGTAAATAAGAGGTGCACAATGGCACTATGTAACAAAGATTCTGTGAAAGTCTCATTAAATTTCATTCAGTGGTATAAGAGGAGTTGCGGATAAGGGTTGGGTACCCCAAAGCATAACAGATGGATGGACATCCATATCACTATATACCGTTACCCTCCCACTTTTCAAGCGGGAGGTATATTGAAAGAAGAGAAAAGAATCTTAATGTAAGCATTTACCATCATCCTGAGCTGCCCTTTCTCAGTTAACTTGGCAATGCATGCAGTCACCATTTTGAATGCTGCATGCACAAGTGACAATCTTAACTACACATGTATATTTTGTGATTATTGTTCCTCTGGTTTCATTAAGATTGGCATGACCAATTGTGAGAAACTATCACAGACAAAAGCAAGTGGAACTATAACAATATGTCTCCTGACTTCCTTTGGGTTGAAAAGATAAAACTAAATTCCTGGCAGTTGCTTTTATTGAGAAATATATAAATTAATTACAATATAATGGTATACACCATTAAAAATGTACAAAAACTTTTGACACATATTGGGCAACTACAAAGAGCATTAACAACCACCAATTATATAATATACCGTCTAACTTAACAATGAGGAAAATCGCATAAAATGTAAAAATGACTAAATGAGCAAAATTGTAATGGATTGGGGAAAACTTTCATTCCTTTTCATTATCATCCAAATCAAGATGATTAAAAACTGTAAATTCTTTCTTACTCTTATTTAGGAAATTTATAAATGTATATATTTTTCACAGACCATATTTTCTTTGTTATAGAATTTTGAGATCTTCGAGAGATTTTTCCATTTTATCACAGACACCAATTAAACAACAATTAAAGAAAAATCTCCTAAAAAGCATAACATACAAAAGAAACAAAAGATTCATTTGACATGTATACCTGATAAAATTCATTGAAAAAAACACTGATGCCCTTTTCACTAAAGCATGGCTCCTGTATAAATATATGTAAATTACTACATAAACCACTATGAAGGAAAGAATGCCAGGCTGATCTTAGAGTCACATTTGATTGAATATGCTGAAATGATTGTTAAAAAAGGATGGTCCGAAATTGGGAAAAATATAAATCTACGATATATTCAAAAATGTTACTTTTACAGATTGCAATATTTTTAGTTCTCTACTTCCATAAAAGGAAAATTCTAACTAGGACTTAAATGCATTTTCCTTTTTTAAAAAATAACGTCTGAGGAAGGAAAATTCTGTCTGAAAAGCTACATCCGAAAATCTCGCTACTGTTTTAAAAATTCATTCTTTCCAACAATTTGATCAGTACACTCTGGGGTCGACTTTGCGGGTTGGTGATCGGGTTGGTGAGAGTGAGCGTGCTCGAGCACGAGCTGCTTTCCTCTTGACTCGCTCACGTGAGCGACGGAAGTTGGAGGCTTCTGTGTTTCCCAATGTCCTGCGGTAGTCTTCGTAACCACTCAGAAATCCATCTTCCATGTCTGCTAGAGCTTCTTCCATGCTCAGGGTGTTAAAAGCATGAGTGTGGTGGGCCTGGATCAATTTCTCCAATCGAGAGATGATCTCGTAATCAGGCACAGCAAGTGTGTTGATGTCAAGACCAAGCATTCTAGATACCACATTACGGAAGTCCAAAAGCTATAAGTAAAAAAAAAACAATTCTCAAAAATCTACTAGATAGAGTTACCGTAATTTCCGGGTTATAGGTCGATGGGGTATATAGGTCGAAAGGCTCATTTTCAGCCTTAATTTTTGAAAAATCCTAAGATAGGACGAACTTAATATATAGGACGAGGCTTTGTTTCCCGTTTTCTAAAGATTCTTACGCAGATACAACGTATCAGAACAAGTAAACCTCTAAAATTACCGGGGCAATTCCATGACATGAACGTATCATGAAAACAAACAGTGTTTTAGTGAGTACAGCATTTAAATAAAGTTTTTTTAAAAAATGTAGTTAAAACTTCTTTGAATTGTGTTACTACTTATTTTTCTCCAACTTGCCTGATCAATGCATCCGTAGTTTCATACTGTTGTTAAACCAGAGGCAAAAATAACACGTAAATACATTTCTTATTTTAAGCTATAATTCGGGAAATATCCGAGATCAAAGAATAATAATTCTGATTTCAGAACAACTTGGACACATTCCTAATATAGTTTATTCAGTTAGTTATTTACCGGTGGACGACAATTGCTTCGATGTCCGCCATTTTCATTTTTGTTCTTCAGGGATTTGCTAAAACCCGCAAACGACCATTGAATGTATATACAAAGCAACAATAAAGAATTGAAATAATATTACCACGCTGTAAGTTTAATTTATAAATTAAATTGAGAGTACCGGTACATCCACAATTTGACAGTCATTATGAATTTCATGGCTTTATTTGTTCAATGATGTGTAACACTAATACCCTATAACGGCACGTGGATTCGCTAATCATGCCCTGCAGGTATTAAATCAACACAGGTGTTAAAACCTTTGCGTGTACACAGTGTAAATCCTTTTATCTGTCCGACAATTAAAATTCGTTAGAAGCCAATCTTTGTATAGCGGTAATTCAGTGTACTTCTTGTGTACGGGGAAATTATTGGATGGAAGAATTAGTTATACAAAAAAAAATTCAGCGAATTAAAAAAAAAACGCATCTTGAATTAACCGATACTTTAGAGTTTATAAGAAATGAATTATTAACTTCCGAATAAGTATGATAGTACCGGTATATTCAAAATAAGTTCGTTTGACCGGTATTATAATTAAATAAAATAAAAAAATATATGGTAATGACTATCGGTTTGTTTGGTAATTAAATTTAGGAATTGACTGGCAACAATTTATTTCACTCATTTTACATTAAAATAAATATAAGACTGTCACAATAAAAAAAAATTAATACTATTTCAAGTTATCAATCTACTAATTAATGGTAAAACACTACACTTGTGATCTTGAAAATTTTTCCGTATTTTAAATTTTGATACGGTTGCGGTTTTACTTTTAGTAAACGGTAGCGACTTCCTAACTTCACAAGATGGCTACCGCATGATGACAATGGATAACACGTTGAGGAATTATTAACTTGATGAAGCACAGTTTTTTCCTTTGATATCAACGGATATTTAATGGAATTTATTTTGTAAGAAAGCTATAGAATAAATATTTTATTGTTTACCTAGGCATTAATTTTTTTGCGAAAAATAATCAAAAAAGTTATGGAAGTGGCACGAATTTGCTATAAAATTTACGTAAATTTTACTGATTTTGGGACATTTTTCGTAAACTTGAGCCTTAGAAAGGTCGAATTCGTATATTGGGCGACCACAGCGGTTCTGAGAAAAAAAGTATCGACCTATAACCCGGAAATTACGGTATCAACAATTTAAGTTTATCATCAATGGTAGCGTAATCTCTTTATTAATAAAAGAGCATGTAATGATTTTCTTTAAAAACATTTCCTTCCAGAATAACATTCAAATTGATCTATTAAAAGATAAATTATTATGCTAATCCCTCTCTGGATATTTTTCGAACAAATATGGTGGTCATATTCCTTTTACGAATCATGTTCAGCTTTAATGTGTCACAAAATTTGGGTAACCACTGTACCTGTTTTTCCCTGTTCTGTATTGCATTCAGGGCGTTCTTGCTGGTCCTGAGCTCGCTGGAGAGGGCCTGTACTGCGTTATCAGACACGAGCCTCTTCTCCTGGCCCTGCTGAGTAGAGATCTCGATCTCGTCTTTAAGGTGCTTGATCTTGTGAGCCTGCTTCTTCCTCACATCCTCCAGTTCCTCAACCTGAGCCACCAACTCCTCAATTTCCTTCCTCTGTTCCATGGTCCTCATCTGAAAGGAAACGTTATATTGTAGACTTAGGTTTTTATTTTAAAACTGCACAGCCATCTTTGAAATTTTGAAGCTTTTTGGAAATTACCTCTATGCTTAGAATTATTCATTTGATTTTACTGTAGAAACACAAAAAATGGGATTAAATTTCCTTAAGAATTATGAACAACGAAACAAACAGAATTTAATCCCCAACGAAATTTTTGCTTTTACAGTAATATATAAAGAAATAAATTTTGATGCCAGTGTGTGGACATGATTTTTACCTGAATTTCACTGGATCCTAAGAGTTGTGCCTTAAGGTTTGTGTTCTCGTGTTTAAGATCTGTGATCTGGATTTTGTATTTCTCTATCAGTTTCTCAAGTTTTCTGATTTTGAAGGTCTCAGTGTCTCTCTCCTTCTCAATCTCTGTTTTTCCAATAAGCTTCTCTTCCAGATTTGTCATTTTCTTCCTCAAAAGATCAAGGTGAAGGTCTTTGCTTTCTAGCTGCTCCTTGAGGGCCTTGACCTTGCGCTGAAGGTTGTAGATGTGAGTAGATTTGTCCACAATTGTGTCTTGTTCCAATTTGACTAGCTGTTCCGCTCTTGCGATCAGAGCTTCGATGGTCATGTCCAGACCAAGGTCGATGGAAATGCGGTCCATCTTCATTTTTTCTCCTAATCTTTGTAAGGCTCTCAGATACTGAAAAGTCAACAAATATTTTTATTGTTTAATTCAAAGAAACAAAGAAATCTATTATACATTGTTCTTCTGATCTCAATATATTGAAACAAATGCACATATAAGGTCCATTTATCGTCTAATAAAAGAAAACCCTCACTGGTACATGTATAAATTTATTTTATTGTTCTATAAAATTGTCCAGCTCAAGGGTCATTTTGGTCAAATTTTCCTTAAGGTATGCTTTAATCCTTTGTATTTCAATTATTAATAAGATTTTTTTGAAAAATCATAAGTATAAAAGTAAAATTTTATTATGTGTAAACAAAGAGACGTCGATCATTGTAGTCAATGGTAAAGTTTACACTGCTAAAAATGATGTTAGAAAATCCTTCCGTCTTACCTTTCCTTTGTCTGACTTGAACTCGTCCCTCAGAACATCTCCTGCTGCCAACTCTCCCTCTGCGCTGCGTAGTCTTTCCTCCAAACTCAGGAGATCAGTCTCGGCCTTACGGGCCCGATGAGCTGCCGTCTTATGTAACTCATACTGAGTCTCCAGCTGCTCTGTTAAAGTTTTGATCCTTTCTTCAAGTGAGTCCACTTTCTAAAGTAATTTTTAAAGAAAATTTTAACATGGTTCATATTTGCTAATGAAAATTAAGAGACAGAAATAATAGTACTCTAGCATGCTAGAGGTTCATGGCTAGATACTTTCAAAAAGGTGTGGCATATGGATGTTAACTGAGGCTCTTACTTGTAGGAGTAGAAATATAGGTTATGTGTGCAAAATAAGTGAAATTCTTAAGCCAACTCACCACAACCAGATCTCGGTTGTCTGCAAGAACAGTCTTGATTCGGTTCAAAATGAAGTCACTTGAAATGTCACATCTTTCATCAACAGAAGACAAGATGGAAGCAACTTGCTCCCGGAAGAGATGAGCCTCAGTCTGAATCTTCCTGACATCCTCTGAGTTAATTCTGTACTCACGATCGAGTGTACTCAGTCTGGAATGTTTCAACTCGAGTTCTGACCTCGCTGCCTCCAGAGCTCTCTGGTTAGCATCCAGTCTCTCTGACATCATTGCCATTTCCCGTTCCATGTTCCTCTTCTCCGTCAAAGCTGTATCTCTTTCCTTTTCATCCAAAAAAAAAATTTCTAGTTGAACCTTCCATCAATTTTTTTTTCACATTTAATCTGAGAGCTTTGATATACAGCAATTAAAAACTTTGTCAAAGAAATAGAGCTTAAATCTTTCATTAATTTAAAAAGAAAATTCAAATTGAACCTTCCACCAAATAATTTTTCCTCATTACATCTGAGAGCTTTGATACAGCAATTAGACAGAAACTTTGTCAAAGAAATAGAGCTTTTTAAAATCTTACCAGTCTGAGATTATCGATCTCTGACGTGAATCTTGTGGCGACCTTTTGCTCCTTGCCGACCTCTGACACCAGCCTCATGATGGTCTCCCGGCTGGCTTTGCTCTCTAATTGTGTGCTGTTTAACGTTTCATTCAGTGTCACAATTTTACCCTTGAGCAAAGCATTTTCTTGCACCAGATCAGTCATCTACAAAATGGATATCAATAAATTAATAACAAAGTAACATCTTTTAAAGTCACAATATTTGTGGACAAGGGGGATAACTTTGTTTTCTAAATATTTTCTATAAGAGTAAATTGCGATAAGGGAGATAACTCTGCTTTCTGACTCGATATCTTCTATGAGATTAAATTGTGCATTTGATGTATTATTCAAAATTTGGCTTTCTATTAAATAAAGTATACTTTTAATATATGTTTAACAGAAAATTAAAGATTAAAGACCATTATTAATTGTCTACCGACATCCTTTGTTATTGATAAATACAGAGCAGAGAGGTGATTATAGTATCTTGAATGCTACTTTATCAAACTTACCCTTCTGACTATTTCTTCCACAGTGAATGTAGCACTAGACATGTCATCCACAGCAATGATACTGGTCAGTTGTGTGACCAGCTCTGTGTATTTCTTCTCTACTGTCTGCATTTCCATCTCAATCCTCTCCCGCTCCTCAAGGTGTTTCCTAAAACATTTTTCAAGTGAGCATTTTACTCATATTGTACAACAAATAACATACACACTGTATTTCAAATCAAAAATTAATTTTTACTCAAGCTTTGAAATTCAACTTCATTATTCAATATTCTATAAATATCAATTTGGCTAAACATCTGAAAAATGAAAGGGCATTATTCAATTCATACCAAAAATCTGTCTAAAGAAAGACAACTCTTGCCAGTACCTGATTCTTGATTCCAAATCCAGAATTTTGTCGTTTCCCTCTCGGATTTGACGTTGTAGTTCGACCACTGTGAACTCGCTCCGCCCCACGGCAGTCTCGTAAGACCCGGCTTTACCCTCGAGTTCTATAATCTGCTGCCTATGTGACTCTAACATTTTTGTAAGCTTGGCCTCGTTTTCTTTGCTGGTTTCATATAAGGACTTCAGTTCCCTTATCTTGATTTCTTTTGCTTCTAACTGACCTTCATAATCTCGTATCTGTGGAGAGTGCAAAATTATATTAATAATTCTTGCAACAATTTGATTAATTAATTTTTAATTAAGCACAAAATATGAACTAAGGCCAGAAATTATTTTATTAAATTACTCTCCCCAACCCCAAAAATTAAAATTCTGTAAAATATATTACCTGTATGATAAGTTTATCATTTTTGACTTGAAGGGCTGCTAATTCACTCCTTGCAGTCTCCACAGCATGTCTGTCTCCAAGATAAATTGTGTCATGCTACAAAAAGTATGGGGATTCAGTTTAAAGGATTAAAATTGTCTGGAAGGAGTTTTGACTCGGTTGTGAACAAGCATTTTAAAGTTGGGTTTTGATCATTATAACATACTGTAGATCACTAAATTTTCTCGACACCTTATTTTCGCGAGATAGTAATTGACTCTTGATTAGCGAGATAAGATTTTCGCGAATTGTGGTTATTGCGCTATATAATCTGAAGGAATACTATTATACGCGAGAATTAAATTTTCGCGAGCACACTGTCTCGCGTAATTACGCGAAAAAAAGTTCTCGCAAATAAAAAGTGATTTACAGTATTTAACTCACTCGTAATGTGTCAGCTGAAGATCTTATTTGAACTTTTGGTATTGCATCCATGCTGGAAAATAAATAATAACAAGTAATTTTAAGATTTCATAACTGCTGATATAAAAAAATATAAAGTTGCATTTTTTCCCCCTGTTTTGGAGGGGTATACATTTATAACATTCATCTGGATGATATTTATTATAGATCTGACATATTAAACTTTTTGACAAAAACTAGATCAACTCATGAATATATTACCTTGACAACTGTTGAACTAGGGCATCTTTTTTCTGATTTTCTTCTTTCAATAATCTAATTTGTTCTTGCATCTGTAAATTAAAATCATAAAATTCAATGCTTAGATTTTTAACAATGCAGATAGTTTTACTTAAAATAGTGCATTAAAACTATTTAATATTTTGAATTATCTAAAATGCAGAATATTAAAATAAGCCAAGCCTTTTTTCTCTACTCCTTTCATTATATACTTTTTGAAGCATGACCTTGGCAATATGATACTCAGTCTGACAATATCAGATAAAATTAATTTTTAATGGAAACAGTGCAATCATTCAAATCAACATTCTATCAGTGTCATGAGAAAGTTCTGTGGCATGTAAATAAATGCTTCCCATAGGAATCAATACACAAATAATGTGATAATTTGTAGTGTACACTTATACGGCGGCATGCTGTCTCCATTTTAAGTGTTCAAACCAATCAAAATGTGACATTTTTTTTGTTAATTTGAGAAGAAACTAATTTTTTACCAAGAGCTGTATGAAAAAGAAAAAGATTTTCTGAATCAAGAAAATGATGAATTTAAGGACAGACATGATCGAAGTCTGTGATTGACTAGTGTGGGATTTACTAAGAATATTTTGTCAACAAATCTAAGAAGCATTATCATTAAAGAATACATGCAAAATTTGTCCTGCTTTTATGTTCTTCTAAAAAGCCATAGAAATGTGTCATTAATACCAATGTTGATTCATTCATCCAGATGTAATTAAATGTTGTGTTTCAGGTAAGAGAAAAATGATAGAGATCGGATCAGGATATTGGTACCCAGGCCTCCTGAATCACTTGTCAGGTGCTCTACTGAGTTTTCTAGCCTTGGGGATTAAATTTGAATGGGTGGCCACCACTAGTTGCACTAATCTCAATGATTTTCAGTACCATATGGTACACAGACTTTTGATTATAATATAGGACTTCATCGAATATGACAATTTGAGTAACAATTAAACGTACACTGAATCTCCATAACACATTTGTTGTAAGACCTGGGTCACTTTTTCCTGAAATCTTTTATCCTATGATTCAGAAGTACTTTTTGATTTATTTTCATATGATGTTCATAATTTATTAATATTAATTATATATGCACATATATAATAAGGTCTATAAAAATCATAATTATAAATTTACCTCTGTCAACTGCCGGCGATTTGGGGACTGTGGTCTAGTGTGATGAAGGCTGGATTCAGATGCCAGTATTCTAGACACTGCCACCGGTGATGTATGAACGATGTCATGTTCTATCGTCGTTATTCTTCTTGGAGAAGGTTGTGTGTCTAAAAATCCATGTTTTCGTATTGATGGAAGACCATGGCGGTCTTCGTCCCTGAGATAACTTGCCATATTCTTGGTATATTATTGTAAAAATCACTTTTCCTCTCGTTGCAGCACTGTTGTCATATATTTTTCGTTCCCATTAGCCCTGCATAGCAACATGAAAACAAGTCACAACACACACACAGGAAGCGCACTTGCTACGTGATTTCCTCGCGAGATTTCTCGAGAGTGGAGGAGTTGTCTTTCCCTTCCAACCTTGGCAAAATTTGAGTGTCTGTAAAAGTTGGGAGAAAGAACACAATGAAGGTAAATGAATTGATCTTGTGTAATCATTATTTCTAAAGCGGAAAAAGTGGTTCTTTTTGTTGATCAAATTATAAAGAAAATACAAGGACCCATTGAAACAGTTTTCTTACGTTGAAGTATTGTGACCGAATTTCCTCGAATTAAATTGAATAAAAATTTTTTATTTGTTTCATACTATTTTACAAATCACAGCTCATTATATTTACCTTTTATTCGACATCATGATAAATCCTCTGGATGGAACACACATTTGATATGTTTGTTTGTTTGGTTTTTTTTTTTTAATGTTATATAATTTACAGGTCCAGTACAATCTCTTGCAGGTCGGAGGTCCAGTCCAAACATTATTTCTACCTACGTAGCTATTAATAGCTACAGTACTGTACATAGGTATTTAAACCTACCCAAAGTAGCTATTTTTACCTACTTTTGGTATTATCTACATTTTGTGGCCATAAGTTTAGATAAGTGTAAGAAAAATGTGTTATACAGTATACCATTAAATTCTTAATTATTTGGAAACTGTGGCAAATATTATTAGTTATCCAGGTTCAATCAAGGGTGTACGGGGATTTACCCCGGGTTTTATTCCATACACCCTGAGGCCGTATTCCATACACCCGTACACCCTTGATTGGACCTGGATAACGAATTTATTTCCTTTGTACCCATAAAAATGCTTTGTAAACATCAAAGTTTGTCTCAATCTATCAATTAGATAACTACGTACAACGATGCATCGTGACGTCATGTTATTTGGCTTTTATCATAGAGAATGTATGCATTGTGACGTCACGTTTTATTTACACCCGGCTCAAGTCGGGTGCACGGATATTTACACCCGACTTTGTAACCAATCAAAGCTCGTGTTACCAGCAACATAGGAAATAATACCTTAGACCACATAGGAAAACCTATGTATGAGTTGTGTACGAGTTGACTTCTGGTTTGTGTACGAGTTAACTTTTTTTTGTGTACGAGTTGACTTTTTGTATACGAGTTGGTTTGTGTACGACTCGGTTTGTGTACGAAGTGACTGTAAACCCAGATGACTGAACTGCCCAACATGGTGAATACCATAATTTTTGATACAATCACAATAATGATGAATAAGACAAAATTTTGACCAAAAAATGATTACTTCCTGAATTGGAATTTTACATTAGTTTCTATACAAAATTGATAATATACGAAGTAATCACTTTTTGGCGAAATTTTTGTCATATCCATCATCAATGTGACTGTATCAAGAAATTCACTGCTCACCATGTCGCGCCGTTCCTGCGTTTGGCCACAAAATGCAAGTAAAGCAGAAAGTAGGTAAAAATAGCTACTTTGGGTAGGTTTAGATACCTTCGTACTATTATTAGCTACGTAGGTAGAAATGTCTTTGGACTGGACCTGTCTTGATTTACTTGTATTTACAAATGTAGCAGTACTGGCAAATCAACATTTTTTTTCTTGGCAATGAACTTGATAATAGTAATAGAAAGTACATTGTCTCTCTTTACTTACATTGATCAATTAAATTACCAGTATTTTCTTTCTAAGTTATGGCCATTGGCCAACTAAGTTTTGCAATCGGACAAGTCAAAATATGAATGCACTTGCCCAAAGGACAAGTGAATCTGAAAGTTATGTCTATCCCTGTGCTCAAATTTTATTTGTTTCATTTTGTTTTTTGTACATTTATTTGCCATTTGGGATATTATATCCAGTTAGGTTGTTACATGTTTAACCTATTTGGGCAGATGGTCCAATGTTATTATTACCTGATATATAATGACTACATGTAATCCAAATACTGGTATATTTTATAAAAGTCATTTTTACAGGGAATGCGTGTACTGCGACGAGGTTTCTCCACCTCGGCCATCAGGAGAGATGTGCAGGATATGGAACCCAGATTCCTGGTCCCCAAAAGTAAACCAGGCAGCCCATTTAGCTATGAGAACCTGGTAGTCAAAAGGATGAAATACTATTTGGTAAGAATTTAAGTTTTACAATTGGTAATTTCTATGTATCAGGGATTAACGGTAGGTGAGAATGGTGATTGCTCCTATATCCATTATTCCAACAGTGGCTTTATGTGTTGCTTACCACAAGTTTCAAGTTCTATTCATCTGAAAAGTTATTTCTTTCTCTAACCAATTTTATGATTAAAAAAAAAATAACTTAATTAGATCTTAATGTTAATAGACGAGAGACTTTCAGCATGCAAACACATTAGTGGCTAAAAAGTGCATTGTTCTCTGCATCATAGTTTTATCTCAAATAAGTCAAAGGCTCAAGTGAACTTTTCTGTCTGTGAACTTTTCACATTTTTTACTTCTAATCAGAAGTACCACTGATCTAAATTCAACCAAACTTGCCTCAAAGCATCCTTGGGTGAAGGGGATTTAAAGTTTGTTCAAATGATAGACAATATCTTTTTTTCAATGGGCATCTTTCCAAACTCCTCTCAATAACCAACTGGCTAGAAAATATGAAACATGTAAAGCTTTATTCAATTGTGTTCATATGATAACCCTCAGGCTTTATTTTGTTTTCAAGAACAGCAAAGCCTTCATTAATTGTATCTATATGAAGGGGTCTTCAGGAAGTCAGTGTAATATTCATTTTATTTTTCATATCAGGGCTCATGAGTTACGTATGAGCCATGCCAGAATTTATTGGAGAAAAACTTCAAAAATTTGTATTACACAAGGATAAGATGCATTAATATGGAAGCATTTTAGTTAGTGTAGATTCAAGTTTGTTCAAATATGAACATCCCCTCCCCTTTTTCCCTGCCATCCTGGATAAGGGTTGGAGGACATATCTTTTGAATTTCAATATTTAACTGATTTCTGTCTTTCTCTTACCGTAGAGATCAGGTGAGTGATGTGGCCCCTGGGCCATTATCATATTATAACAGCCACTGGTGCCAAAAATGAGCTAAATTTGTACTTTTAAATTTGATAGAATTTTATTAATTAATTTATTTTTATTTCTTTGTAATGCTTTAATTGACTTCTATTCTTTTTCAGAAACCACCAACTGATTACACTCATAACAGGAGCCCCTTTGGCAAACAGTACACCCAAGTCGTCAGTGTATTGGCTTTGGTTTATATGATCTACAATGTGTTTGAAAGAGCCTATGTGATGCCAAGGGCAGGGAAATCTTAACTAGAACAGTTATTATTTTTTAATATAAGTGTTGCTATAAATATCAGTTGTGAATTTAGTCACAATAAATCTTTGAAGAATTTTATGGTCTTTGATTTTCCATATTTGTTGTTAGTTATAGTTAAAAAGAACCATGGGTAATAATTTATAGGACAAATATTTCATGTTAAATAATCAGGTTTTCCAAGGGTGCCCCTAAGGCATGGGGCTGAGGTAATTCCCAACAGGCGTGGATCCAGAAATTTTTTCCAGGGGGGCCACCCCAGTCAAAAAAAAAATCCAATCCCAGAAATTTCTTGACAACCAAAAAAAAAAATTTTAAAAATCAAACTCGCCCAAAGTTCAAAAACTATTTCGGGGGGGGGGGGGGGGGAGTGCCGGCTATTGCCTCAAATGTTTCAATTTTCATACCCATTTCACACATCTTCACGTTTACCGGGGGGGGGGGGGGGTCAGCGGGGGGGGGGGGGGGGGGTCCATGGTAACTTTTTTCTTGTTTTAGTATATACATTTTTTAACCTGGTAAATTCCCCCGACCCCCCCTCTAGATCCGCGCATGCCCAACCTGTAATGATGTAGTCCCCCAGTTATTTTTGGTATTTCTCCTAAACTCACAATAAGGAGAGGAAACCCAGATTCCCTTCTACTTTCCAAATGTCTCCTATTTTAATTCTTAGGGACAGCCCAATGTTTTCTCTTCCGTTAAAACAGTGTAACAATGATGACGACTAAGTAAGTAGTAAAACTTCCTTTGTCTTTTGTATGTAATTTCTACAGTAGAGCTCTGGTAATGTGATCGATGCGTCCCACAGTATGGTGGGAAAAAGAATTTCGTCTTCCCCACCCCACACAAGAAAATTCACCCTAGGGATAATGGAAGAAAATGATTTTAAAAAATCTCTTATGGTAGACCTCATGTAGACGAAATCAGATTTTAAAAAAGACCCAAAATATGTCAAATTTTAAATAAATGATCCTAAATGTCAATAATAAATAGGTATATTTATAATGCATACATGAGAATAAATTCTATGCATGGTATTTACTTTTTCTGATCATTCAAACAAGCGCAATTTTTCATTTGAAATTTTGATAAATGAAATGGAGACAGCTTGCGTGTTTTTTTAACACATTCAACACTGTTCAACGATGTTTATGGTGGCATATTTCTGCCCCTTGTGTGCAAGTTATTTTTCTATCAAATATGTCGACATGCAAGATAAATATGTTGACATGCAAGATAGTTACGTCAACATGCAACATAAATATATTGACATGCAAGAAAATTGCAATCAAATAAATATTATAAAAAATCTTCAAAAATCTCAAATATTGCCCACATGTGACATCCAACATGTTAGATGCTACTTATTTATGCTAACGTGCAAGATAAATATGTTGACATGCAACTTATTTATGTTAACATGCAACTTATTTATGTTAACATGCAACTTATTTATTTTGACATGCAACTTAGTTATCTTGACATGCAAGATAAATATGTTGACATTTAACTTATTTATGTTGACATGCAACTTAGTTATGTTGACATGCAAGATGAATATGTTGACATGCAACTTATTTATGTAAACATGCAACTTAGTTATGCCGACATGCAACTTATAAGTTGCATGTCAACAACATATTTATCTCGCATGTCAACATAACCAAGTTGCATGTCGACATAAATAAGTTGCATGTCGACATAATTAAGTTGCATATCAACATAGATAAGTTGCATGTCAACATATTTATCTTGTATGTCAACATAACTAAGTTGCATGTTTACATGAATAACTTGCATGTCAACATAAATAAGTTGCATTTAGCATGTTGGATGTCACATGTGGGCAATATTTGAGATTTTTGGAGATTTTTTATAATTTTTATTTTATTGCAATTTTCTTGCATGTCAACATATTTATGTTGCATGTTGACATAGCTATGTTGCATGTTAATATATCTATCTTGCATGTCGACATATTTGATAGAAAAATAACTTGCACACAAGGGGCAGAAATATGCCACCATAGATGTTAGCCTTTCAGTATAAAGAAAGCAGTGTCGTCCAGGCACGCAGCATCCGCCTTTTTTAAGGGGACGAGAAAGAAGTAGTCTGGAAAAAAAATTAACGAAAAATATTACCTTACCAAATTACCATGATGTTAACTTTACTCTAGCAAATGGAGGTGAAGGCGATCGGCCTTTCAGTATATAATTTTATTAGTAAAAGTGAAGTTTTGGAACTAATTGGGGGGGGGGGGGGGCAACCCCCACCACAGAAACTGCACGTCTGTGTATTCGCACCGAACAATCAGTCGTAAAAGTATGCTATACATATACATTTCTCGTTAACTTTGTGTATATCAGTAAAACCCTAAAGTGCAGATTATGTGTCCAAAGAACTAGCAACGAAAAATTTTTGAAGATAAAGAAATTGTTTCATACTTGCACGTCTTTTTATTATTTTTTGTTTAAATTGTATTCAGAGTTCCGGAAATTGAACAAAAAAATGATTACTTCCAAGTTCAGGTTTTTTAGAAGCAGAACTTGCGGGATATTGGGTTTTATGTTACAATGAAATTAAAGTTAAATGAATATGCCCCCGAGACTTTTGCCGTAGTGACACTTTATCGGATAGTTTTGTTTTTGCAAACAATAATTAAAAGTCAATGTTATACTGTGTGACATGTTTTGATAATTCATTCATGGATATAACGAATGACAGTCTATTATTTATACGGTGGAATGATTTTTCAAAATAAAAAGAATCTTTTGTTGAACCTAGCTGCCAAAATCTTACAGTAAAGCTCAATTTTAATTAATTCTTCTTATCAGCACCGCCTCCTACAGTGGATTAATTAAGATTTCGTAATTATGTGTTTAATCCACGGAAAAGGTGTCATATGCTCGGTCATTATCAAGTACTCTTACTTAAATTCTGAGCTATTTCATTCAGCGAATCACTCAAAATAGCACAGTCGGATCGGATGGGTTTTGGCATGTTTTCAAGTTAGTGTAGTTCTAGATGGAGGAGTAGGAACAGCATAGGTTTAATGCGAGCTCCCACCACAAGTAAAAGTAATGGATGGAGAGTAGAGTTTTGTCTCTTGTCGCAGATGTGCCTGTGTCCATAATTGAAAAAAATGTAGATTACGGATCTTCTAGCGTTGCAAATCGATTCAAGTGCGCTGTGTTGTGGGTTGTTGACAAACAATAATGTGCACGTAGGCTGCAGTTGTGTGAATAGATTATTTTTCAACAAGGCGAAACACTTTTTTTAAAAAAAAAAAATTCTAAATCAAATTGGATCTACTGTGTTTTTACTGTGTTTATTCAACTGAATAGGATATGTACACTAATTATCTCGGATAGCCCACAATATACCTGTTTATTTAAACGTCGGGTGATACTTTGTAGTTCAAAGTTTGTGGAAAGTTTACATGGTGGCTAGCAGACGATCGACCTACATAATGACGGATAATAATATTATTCTGTAAAATGTGGCAACGAATTCGAGATTACTCGTCTGCCATAAACTTTACAATTTTAAATTTTCTACGCAGAAGAAATTATGAACAGTTTGATGAAAATGGCAAAGAATCTTGTATTGAAAATTCCTCAGACGAGAGCGAGTGTGACGAGCAATGGCCAGTAGAGTGCAATACGCCACACACAGACACATGCGCAATTATTGACCATGTTGAAGTGCACAACTTCCAAGAGAAACAAAATTGCTCCGAGACAAAAGATTCCAAGAAAAACTATGATAGTGATACTGATGTAAAACTTGATGCGTCGGTAGGGCGTAGTCATTATAAGAATAAAGTGCTACGAAGACCAAAAGACGATGTGAATGAAGGCATTCATTTGGTTCCAAACGATGTCAAGGACGTTGTCCATAGTTACACGCAGAAGAGATACTCGAGACTTGAAGACGAGACCGAGTCGTCTGAAGAAGATGACTTCCGGGATGCGCAATCAGAGCCAATGCCAATTTTCGACAATGCAAAAGATTTCAATGGAAAGAAATCGAGAAAGAAAAAGCGACGGAAAAAGGTACATCTCTTGAAAGTATTGCGTAGACTTTCATGTTTGACGTCTGCAATGCAAACCAATCAAAGAAAGTTTCGCTGAATTAAAAGAATGAAATGACAATGGTTATGTTTGAGTTGAGATGTACTCTTCTTTTTAGAGGTCCAAGTCGATACCAAATCATTCAAAACCTCTTAAATGTGTTGTAAAATGTATTTACCTATATCGCTATATGTAAATAATTATCCATGCAATCTCAAATGTACGCAATTCATTGTAAAGTATTTCCCGCACTGTGTTCAATGTACATATTTATGCCAGTATTTTATTGTTGCCAAATTTATTGCAATCAAGCCTTTTGAGAGAGGATTTTTTTTATTTAGCATCAATGGAGAGGCAAAAGTATGTACACCCCTTGATAATGCAAAAGTGCAATTTATTTTTCCCCTCACTTCCTTTGCAAACTTATTACGTGCAATTATGCAGGAAGTACAGTTATCCAATACAAGCGATTTCGTCTGTGGTGATGATATATATATAAACAATATTGTTTGATGCAGCGAAAATTTAACAAGCATCTATTAATTCTTTTGATAGATGCATGTTTACAAAGGCCTCAGAAAGATCGTATCTTCTGTAGGGAAGGCGTTCGTGATCGCTCATGGCGCTTCTTTGCTCACGGTCGAGGATCTTACTTTTTCTAAACCGACAGGGTATTTCTTTGCATGGCTTGTTGTTCGAAAGATACATATCATGATGTATTCAGAAATCCTCCATAACCTTGGCCAGGCTAAAAATATTGAAGCACGAGTTCATATGAGGTCATAAAACTGTTTTTGTTATAGGTGTACAATATGGCGGAGCTACAATTGTACTCACGTATACCAAGGTCACCCCTAAAATATCCAAGTCAATTAGAATAAGTACAGTTGCCCCCGTACGATGAAGGAGACTACTGCATTAATGAGTTCGTATATATATCGAGCAAATTAAGGATCCTATGGCATTAGGTTACATGTAATTACTTGCCAAAAGTTCACGAAGTCCCTCTGCTAGTAGGCCATAAAATAAACCTTGTAACTCGCCATCGCGAGTTCCAATCACAGGTAGTTGTTTCTGTGATAATACTTTGGACCCATAGTATACTGGTGTAATAATATCCATGGGTTAAAAAAAATATATATTACAGAAACAAGTCCTGTAGTTGCAAGCTGTGAAATGGAGACACCAAAAAAAGATATTTGAGAAAATTATATATGGTTTTCAAACCGAAATATTGGCTATATTATTTTATTTATTGCAGTTTTATCATACATATTATGGGCTGCTGTGTGTTTTGCGATAGTGTAAAATAATGTTTTGATCAAGAAACTTCTGTGAGCTGGGGTTGCTGAGAAGCAGCTGGGTTTTTGGTAAAAAAAAAAAATGTTCTCAGTATGCAAACAAGATGCTTTGGTGGTGTACTTTCCCTGTAAAAATCTCTTTGTCTATAAATACTCTGATATTGTTTATTTTGTTCTTTTGCTGCAACGTGACAACATCGTTGGAAAATTTCGGTAAAAGTTTTGGTGATTTTTGCATGTTGATGTAGTCTGCCTGTGTATAAAAAGAACTGCTTGGTTTTTCATCGGAAAATGTCATGGATCTTTGCTACATATTTCCTTTCTTATTTAGTGTCGAATTTTTGTATTGTGTATCATGAATGGAAATCCCTTGACTAATCTTTTCATGATAAAATCAATATCAACTTCCCACACATGCTTATTTTTTTTCTACATTTTTTGCATCTGAATGTTCCTTTTGCAAGATGTCCCCAAGAGTTCGTTTATTTCTTAACTGAATATTGTTTAAAATGTCAATTTTTTTGAATTCGAGTTAGCTGACAATGCTATACTCTTGTCATTCAATTCAAATTCAATGTTACTATCACAGCAGAGACTGGAAATAATTCTATACATTATAAATCGTTTTGCAGTCTGTTAGTTGTACAAAATGACGAGGAATTTGAAGAAAAAAATATTATTTTGAATTGGATTCACATTTTTGTATTGCTGCTTTTGTTTAGTTTTGGTAATATGACCGTCGTATTCTACTAACATTCTTAGATAAATCTGTACAGTACAATAATATGGCATGGAAAGGAATAAGCTTCGATCCCATCATTTCATCTACGGAGTCTGTAAGATTATTTGCATGTAGATATTAACTCGATTAATTTGTGGGTATACAATTATGTTACTATTAAGTGGTCATGACCTTATATCAAATCCCTTTTATAATCGATTGCTATAGTGGAACATGTAGAACACTTTGATAATTTATTAATATTAATTTTATGTTTCATATATAGATTTTTAAATAATAATTTGATATCCTCAACATAAGAACAGTTATAATTTGAAATCCGTTTTATTTCAGATTGCCAAAATGACCAGACGGACTGTTCGGGGATCGTGGAAGTGGTTAAAGCGGGGGGTTATGGGATATGCGGGTGGGCTGGCAACAGCCAATATATTTATGCTTTTTTATAAGAAAGAATAAACAGATGTTATTTTTATTGGCTTCTTTATCTTTTTTATTTCCCCGTAATCAAGGATTCGGGGGTACCGGTTTTTAATTTTTGCCGTGTCCATCCGTTTGTCTGCTAAAACCTTGCCTATAACTTTTGATTGGTCTGAGATCATGATTTTCATGCTTCACCTGTGCAAATATTTGACCCAGACCTTAGACTTTGACCCATTTTTGCCAAAAAAAAAAAAAGATAAAAATAACATTCATCCTTGAACTTGTGTATTTATTGCATGTGAAAGGATCTTACCTTGGGTATATTTGACCTTGATCCTAGACTTTGACCCACATTAAAACTATCTTTGGCCATATCTTGAACATTTAGTATTAGGGCTTTCATATTTTACTGGTGCATTCCTTATCATGGCATGACTTTCCTTGACCGTGGCTTTTGACCTACTTTTGAATAAAATATTAACCTTGACAATAACTTTTAAACAGTTGGTGTCAAGGCTTTTATATTTCGGAGTTAATTTCACTGAGACAACCTTGACAATAACTTTTAAACAGTTATCAAGGCTTTTATATTTCGGCGTTAATTTCACTGAGACAACATTTTTTTTAAACTCTTGACCATGACTTTAGAGTTGGCCATTGATTTGAGATTAACCCTCACCATGCCAAAAGGTGTCATACTGGGGCATCAGTGTTTCACAAACAAATTATCTTGTTTATGATTGGAGTGGCTTGGGAAAGAATATTGGAATGAACTCGCCAAGATGAACATTATTGATTAAGCTATTAGCAGTACACTATCCCTTTTTCAAAAGGGAAGCAAATCAGATGGACGCCAACCTAAAGAATTTACACCCATTATACTCTATCGCTATAAGCTTCCGATTGGCTCTTCGAATGCACTATTAAGCGAATTCAAATTTTCCTGTCTTTTCCCCTGCAAGAATCATGTTGACAATATTTAATAACTACCAGCAGCCCAGCATTTGGACATATTTACACATAAATAAACTAATAAACTAGCCTGGCGTAGGGACTAAGTTTGGTATTTTTAGGAAATTTATTTATCGATGTTTTGGAACGTTTGTCAAAACTACAGCCGTATATTTGCGGAAAATGGAAATATGTTAGTGTAATTAAATACAATGTAGTATCCTACAAGCTGTCCTTCTGTGAAACTTGTTTGTGTTCAATTACAAAGTAAGATCGACGTTGAAGAAGACTAGGGATTAATCCACTCAGCAATATTGCACCCCTTTTACGTATCCAAAACCCTCCAATTTTTTGAAAGTAAATAATTTTTTTTCTCAGCATAGCAATATTTCAGTGTTTTATTCTGCCATACTAGTGTAACAGGAAAGGAGAAAATGTATGGCTTCACCCCTGTATCTCTAGTCAGGTGCTCTACCAACTGAGCTCTCCAGGCCGATATCCACGACCCTAACCATTACATTCCTCCCTTTAAAGGTCTTTGGCCCTCCAAAGACCCCAACCCAGGCTCATCCTTGGCATGTCTTTCACCTGTCAGTTCCAGGGCATGGCACGGCACCAAATGTAGTAGGAAAGGAGAAATGCACGAAGAAAACTTCTGGCTGGATCGGGAATGGAACCCGGGACCCCTGTATCTCTAGTCAGGTGCTCTACCAACTGAGCTATCCAGGCCGATATCCACGACCCTAACCATTACATTAGTATCTATAATTTTCTGCAATACATTCCGAGCCAGTATCAATCCCGATCATTTGTAAAGGGTGTTCGTAATGGTATTCTTGCATCCTTCCAAGAAAACAATCAATTTAATAGAGGCTTCGTGAATATTACTCACTCTCGCTAATCGATGTCTGATATTTGTAGAACCGGTGAAATTAATGCGCTATTTGTCCTTCTGTATATCAGCAGCTGAAATTGATATTTCGTACAGAAGTTGGCGGAGAATAACATCTAAATGCGGCTCAAAGTGTATTCACTTTGCACTCATGGGAGAAATTTCTGGAATGATTACAATTTATAGCAAATTGTTTTGTAAGCTCTTTAGCTCATTTTCGTAGGATACCAAAACTGCTATATTACAAACTTTTACAATAACTTGAAATATTTTATCGTTTAATTAATTTTCATGGGAATTAAATTCAGTAGAATTGCAATATAAAATTTCGCAGTTTGTATGTTTGTACGTGCAAATTGTTTTTCAAGGAAAAATAATAAAATTACGGTAATACATTACGCTAATATAAAACAGCAAAATGATCACGAAAAAGTTTTATGAGATGTTTTATAACTAATACCTCAAAAATGATATGGCATGTAGCTAAAACAATCGTATACATGCATACGAGAAATAACAAGCCAATTCAAAAATTGTGTGTTCCCCTGCTGAAAGAAAAACGAAGAGGTTGAGCTGACCCGGGGGCAAAGGGGATGGGGAACTTAAAATTAAAGGAGGGCAGGAGGGGCATACTTGCATTGAGTTATTGTATAAAATTAAATTGCAAAAACTCACAAGCTTTTAGAGGTTTGCCCGGGAAAGTTTTACAAACACAATCGAACAGAATGTATGAATTTAGGACCTTGACCTTTAGATGTCAAAATCAATAGGGGCATTCCTAAGGCCATAGGGAGTTTTGGGTATTAAAATTCATTGCAAAAACTGAATGGCTTCTCGGGATATCGCGTGGAAATGAAAGTGATAAAACAGATTTTTTAATATATGACCTTCGACCTTCTGACTTCAATCAATAGGTAGCTGCAAAAATGTAGCCCTCTCCGATTTTTTTCATCTGATATTTTCTGGAGGAAATTATAGGTATTTTCCTCTCCCCACCCCCAAAAAAGGGAGAGGGCTACACTACTGCAGCTAATCAATAGGGGTCTTCCTTAGGCCTTTGGAAAATCATTGGAAAATCTCAAACGCTTCTTTAGATATTGGGCAGAAACGAAAGTGTTAAAACAGAATTTTTGACCTTGACCTCAAATCAATAGTGATCTTCCTTATGCCATAGGGAGTTATTGCGTAAAATTTGATTGCTCAAAGGCTTCTCGAGATATCGCGTGGAAACGAAAGCATTACAGGCAGAACTAGGGACGGACACACAGATGGTCGGACAGACAGACCAAAATTAATATCCCCCACTTTCTAGCGGTGAACAAATATCGAAATAATAAGATGTTTCCCTTTTGAGAAGAGCAATTGCAAATTTCATTGCAATTTTTAAAACTCAAAAGCCTCTTGAGACATCACAAAGAAATAAATGTGTAACATATGGCAAGCCAAATCCACAAAAATGAGATAAACATAGTTTCACAGTCGATAAACTAGGTTTATCGGTTGTAAACTATAGTTTACGGACTGTAAACTATAGTTAACAACGTTAATCTATATTTTACATTTGTAAACCATAGTTAACGCGAAAATCTATGTTTCACAACCGTAAACTATACTTAACATCGAAAACAATCATTTGCATGGCACACCAAATTCACAAAAATGAGCTAATCATAGTTTCACAATCGATAAACTAGGTTTATCGGTTGTAAACTATAGTTTACGGACTGTAAACTATAGTTAACAACGTTAATCTATATTTTACATCTGTAAACCATAGTTAACGCGATAATCTATGTTTCACAATCGTAAACTATACTTAACACCGAAAACAATCATTTGCGATTGAAAAACATCGATTATCTGATAAATACAGTTTCACGATTTGTAAACTATAGTGAAACTATGATTAACAACTCTTAACTATAGTTTACGATTGTAAACTATAGTTTACAAACGTGAATCTATGTTTATCAACAAAATCTATTATCAACGCTTTATTCAGACAGATAAACTTAGATTAACATTCGTAAACTATAGTTAACGACCGTAAAATATAGTTTTACAGATGAAAACTATACTTAACGAATCGTTAACTATACTTAACGAATCGTTAACTATAGTTTACGGTTTGTAAACTATAGTTTACAGTCGATAAACCTAGTTTATCAATTGTGAAACTAAGTTTATCTCATTTTTGTGAATTTGGCATGCCATACATTTGCGATTGCAAAACATAGATTATCTGATAAATACAGTTTCACGATTTGTAAACTATAGTTTACAAACCGTTAACTATAGTTAACGATCTGATAAATACATGTACAGTTTCATGATTTGTGAAACTATGATTAACAACCGTTAACTATAGTTTACGATTGTAAACTATAGTTTACAAACGTGAATCTATGTTTATCAACAAAATCTATTATCAACGCTTTATTCAGACAGATAAACTTAGATTAACATTCGTAAACTATAGTTAACGACCGTTAAATATAGTTTTACAGATGAAAACTATACTTAACGAATCGTTAACTATACTTAACGAATCGTTAACTATAGTTTATGGTTTGTAAACTATAGTTTACAGTCGATAAACCTAGTTTATCAATTGTGAAACTAGGTTTATCTCATTTTTGTGAATTTGGCGTGCCACACACAAATTTTATGAATTTACGACCTTGACATTTGACCTTTTGATATCAAAATCAAAAAGGGTCTTCCTAAGGCCTTAAGTAGTTTTAGTATTTAAAAAAAAATCCCACTGCAAAAGCTCAAAAGCCTCGCTTATCGCTAAAATACAAAAGTGTTAAAACAGACAGAAGTTTATACATGTATAAATATTTCACCTTAATCTTCGACATTATTACGGCAAAATCACTAGAGGTCGATCTTCTTCAGGCCATTAGCAGTTGTTATCGTATGTAAAATTTCATTGCAAAAAGCTCAAAGACGTCTTGGGATATATTGCATGGAAACAAGTGTTATAGACAGGCAAAATGTAGACTGACGGACAGACAAACTTAAATTAATACCCCCAACTTTCAGTGAAAGCAAGGGATAAAAATTGAGGCTGAGATCAAAAGTTAACTCACAAAATTTTATGGCCCATGGGCTTGGTACATGTAAATGGTAAGGAGAGTCATGTATGTACATCTTAAAGAAGGTAGGCGATTTGCCTTACCAACCAACCAACCAACCAACCCCCC